ATTTTTTATAAATGAAGTTATACACGGATTCAAGTGTGTAAGTATTTCCATATTGTTGTTTATTACATAAAATTATTTATTTATAACATTTTTAGATTTGAAATGCATAAATTTTAAGAATAAAAATTGTTGCTGAAATGGGGATTGAATTTTACTTTTCAATTCAATCTTTATTTATATTAAGAAGATGAATTAGAAAACTTATACCAGAGGAAAAAACGAATCTAAGGGTTTTTTAATAACTCACTGCTTTATACAGAACACTTTAATTTACACAGAAGAATTTCGAAAACTTATAAAATTAATTTTACTAATTAAACATTCTGATTATGGCCATATAAGGTGACTTACAAATATTTTTGTATAAATTTTTTAAGATATTATAATATTTTCTGAATTTATTATGCAATTAATAAGTTTGAATCAATGGTTTTTTTGTAAAGAAGCACTTTTCCCTTTAAAAAGTAAAAATAATGCTTGTAAAAGCAATTGACTACAATATTTAAATTAGCATCATTATACACTAAATTAAACACAAAACTATTGCATACATTTAGGATGAACAAACAAAATAAAAGAAGCATTAAAATTTTGGGTAAATTAAACGGTTAAGCTCCAGAGTTAAACGGTTAGCTCGAGGAAAATAATTATTTTTTAATTAACATGATAGCATTGTGCATTTTTAGAAATTTGGAAAAGATTGCAGTTTCAGAAAAATAAGGTATCGAAAGTTCATATTTTGCAAATTTCGGGGGGTGGTAATAGGGGGTTTCGGGGGGTTAAGAAGGCATCGAGTTAAGAGTTGTTTATGTCTTTAAAAAGTATTTATAAATCGCTTGTTGAGGATTATTAGTCTACCTTATGAAACCTCTAATTAAATGAATAAAACGTATGAGGTTGGAGTAGGTAGGAACTAGTTAAATTCAAAAGGGTTCTCTTTAATTACACTTATTTTCTGGAACGAAAATTATAATTGAAAATTTATTAATTCTCAAAAATTATCATTTCTTATCAAAAGCCCACTTTCTTTTCCAACAAGTTTTGGAGAAGTTTTTTCACTTTTTTTTTTTAAATTTTAATCACATACTTTTTTTCCTGTTCGAAATTTGGTTAATCAACAAAACTAACGCGTTACTCAACACGTGCTTTTAAAATTATATTTTATAATAGCTTTTGTTTTTCCGAAATAAATTTTCTGAAATGTATGAATGAATAAACTAATAAAAATTAATTTGCGCGACTTTTTTTAATTAACAAGTTAAACATTAAAATTAAAATATTAAAGTTATTTTCGCGTTCGAGCAATAAAGAAAAAAAAGAATTTTATTTTCACGTTTTAGTTACGAATATTCTTTTTTTTTTTGAAATTTATGTAAAAATAGTTGTAAGTCACGCACAGCATAATCAGGCGGAAAAAAGTGATTCTTGTCATACAAAACCACATGGTTATTTTTTTTTATTGTTATTAATATTTTATCTTGAATGTTGACTATTCTAGTTTATTGCCTCAGGTTTTTGATTTTTTTAATATGAAAATTGATGTGAAAGTCAGCAACTCTAATAATTCACTGACTATCTTCACATGATTGATCATAAAAAACTTGCGAGTGATTTTGAGAAATTTTTAAATACCTATAAAATTGAGTTTCCCCTTTTTTTTTAATTTATAATTAAAATCTATCTAACAATGTTTTTCGTAAGTAAAAATTAGAGCAGTATTTCTGAATTCTAGTATAGTAGTATCTCGCTATACAAATAGTTCTGTATACAATTAAGAATTTTGAAACGACACAAAAGAAAAGCGAAGAAAAAATAATTTTAAATCTATTAGGCCCTTGTACATTTGTGTACCCTTTCATCTACAAATAAGAAATTTGTGAGACATAAAAGCTTTTCATGTTTGTTAAAGAATCACAAAATTTTCAGTATTCTTTATTGTTAGTCAACTAATACATTTAGACTAGAACATTTACTCTCAGAATTTAAACAATTAAAATTATTTTTGTTTTGTGATTGACAATTTCAAATTAAAATCTTTACTCACACACTTAAAATGATAGCTGACGCTAAAGTGAATATTTGCTGTTGTCTTTCGAGCTTTTGCATAGCGTTGTTAAGAATACAAATGTACAAAAGTTCATTTGGAAGCGACACAAGAAAGTACTTTGATGCAGTAACTTAAATTATTTCAAAGAATCCTAAATGAATATCGTTGTTCTATACTTGAATAGGATTGTTATCCGTTTAGAAAATTTTACCAAAATATTATTAACTATTAAAAATAAAATTCACATTGTAATTTGCCATATAATTTGAAAATGACAAAGCCATACAAAATTTTATACTCTATAAAGATGGCAAAGGATACCCATTTAAAATGTCAAATTATATTTTATAAAAGTGTTACCATTGTGTTTAAAAGAATTTATTGCAAAATATCAAAATAGTTTATCGTTTACAAAATATTGTGAATAGAGAAACTTCATAATGCGCACGTTTATGTTTGAATGATAGCGTTTAATTTAAATGTTTGCAAATTCAACCCTATTTGAACCTCATATATCTTAAATTTCGTGTATTTAAATCAATTTCATTTTTATTGACATAAATTTTTCGAATATGTTAGTTGCGTTCGAACATATTTCTGACATTGAAAAAGATTTACGTTGCCAAACTCTACTGAAAATCTATTAACCATAAATTTTTTTAATAGTATATTATGTTCTTTTTGTTCTAATTAACCTAGTCTTAAATAAATTGAATAAAAATAATTTTGTATTTCTATCTACATCATGTTAATTTCTGACATCTTCTTTCTGATTTATTCTATATGAATCTCATGTGCTATTTCAATTAATTTTAAATAATTTGAAATTTTTTTTAATTTTTCTATTTTATAACTCTTCAACAAGCAAGTCAACGTAAAGTAAATAGAAGGCAATGATACGCAATATATTATTTTGTTATTGAATTTATTTATTTGCAATTAGTCAGGCTTATAACAATATTTACGTTCTAAATTACACACAAAATTGAAAATATTTATTTAAAAAATAAAACAAATTGTGACTTCCACAAATTTCATTTTTTAATAGGAAATAGAACGTAAATGATTTTCTAATATCATAGAATGAATATTCACTTAAAAAATCGTAAACACACTTTATTTTAGCAGTAATGCTTGTTTGTGTAAATGTTTGAATTAGTATTATTAATTTCATATTGACGCCACTTATAGCTTTAATTTTTGCTTTCATAATACAAGCGTTATAGGAAAAAAAGCGTCTGCATTCATGTGTACACATGATAAATGATTGTGGCTACTGAATTACTCTCTTAAAAGCTGTTCGTGAAATTCTTCAGTCATATATATTAGTTGTGATTTCATTTATATGTACAGAGATGAATGTATGTACCCACATTAGTCCCAGAAAAAATTTTTTAAGTATTACATTTAAATTTAATAAATTTTTAGTATACGAGTAGGTTTTGGTTTTTGCAATATTTAAATCAATCGAAGCCTGATTTTTACAGACTAAAATAAAATACAAACCTTGTATTTGTTTAATAAATGTAAGAAACTTTATAATTTATGCAGCTTGTTTAATTAATTTTATGAAAATATTTCTAAGAATAATAAATTTTTCTTTCAATTTCCTTGCTTCGCAAATCTATCACAATTCTGTATTTCTTTTTTAAACTTCTCAACATTTTATGAGTCTTAAAATTTCTAGAATTCTTCTAAGAACATGAATAGAATATGAACTCTCAAAAGGACAAGAACGGTAACACTTACCCTGACAATCATACAAATATTCATATTTGACTAAATAATGTGTGTGCATAATTAAATTTTAATCTTATGACTAATTATAGGAATTAAACATTCAAATAATTAAAAATTTAAACTTAAATTCAAAAATTGTAGGACACATGCATAAGATAAATGACGACTTGAAAATGAATACAGAAAAGAAGTATTAGAAATTAAAGGGCAAATTTTATTCTTGTGTAGGTTGTGTTATAGGCTCATGTTGTAGCAAATAGATTCATATTGTACACTACTTTTTAAATCATTTTTTTAGTTCTGTTCTAATTATATTTTGATCAGTCTCAAGAGCATATTATGGGAGCATATTTCACTCTTATAACCTCATATAAGAGTTTCCGTTTACAGAAAAAATAGCAATAATTTGTGTTTATGTTTGTTCACCATGTATGTGAGAGACATCTGAAATATTTGTTTCCACACATCTACTAATACGATATTTAAACATAAACAGAAGGAGGAGGAGAAGCTTCTTCTGAAAATATCAAACAGTTGACACTGCTAAAGGTAAAAAATGATTTGACATCAGAAAGAGAAGGAGAACAAGATTAATAAAATACAGAAGACGGAATTTTACTAACTAAATTGAGGAATTAAGAAAATGCACAACTCACAATTTTATTTTTACTTTTCAGATAATTACTTTAATATTGATTAAAATAACCTGAATTCTTACTAAATGGATTATAATAAAATTTAAATAATTTTATATTTTTAGTTGAAATTAATCATCTTATAAAAAAAACCCCAAAGTTAAGTAGGAGGACGAATTGAATTTAATTCTGAAGGTAAAATATTTGCAAGAATAAATTAGAAAATGTCATAAAAGGCTATAAAATGTTACTCATAACCTCAATTAAAAAAAATATATAAGACTATAATTTTTTTTTCTGACCTAATTGCTCTAAATTTTTGTAACACGACTTTTTGCAACTTTTTAAGAAACTTTGGAAATTAGTTCACCTTTTGTTCTTCTTTTTTAATACTCTCAAATCTCTCAAGGATTAATATTGTATGTATGGCAATAAATTTAAATATCCTTATAGTTTTTAAAAACATTTTTAAAAATTATGTATCTATTTCATACACAAGTTTTGAAAAACCTTTAAGGTCACAAACTCTATATATAAAATTCAAAACATTTTCAATATGAATAAAAATTTTTGCTTACCTGTTAGTGAAACACTATTATTATTTTTATTGTCATGATCAACTGGAATTGATGATACTCTTTCAGCCCTTAATATTGCAACTGTTGTACCTGGTCTACCACTTTTACCAGTTGCCATTAATTCCACAGCCATATCCATTGATTTTTGTAAAACAGCATCCATTCTTATAACACCCTCAGCTAATGTTTTATAACCTAATATTGTTCGTGATTTGTATTTTTTACGTCGTTGTAACAGTATAACAAGCCTACAACAAAAAAAAAAAATTTTACAAATAAAAGATAAAATAAGTTAAAATTTTTTTTTAAATTTTCCTTAAAACAGGAAAAAATTCTAGCAAAATATTTAATGTCAATGTTGTAGAAAAAAAAATTAATGTGTAAAACCATAAAATAAAATTTAAAATTTGTGTTTGACATTGCATCAATTATAAAAATCAATTGAGAAAACATTGATTTAGTGGGCTGAAATTTACACATGTAGGCACTTATAAAATACCAGAATTTTTTTCTTCTACTTTTATTGTAAAATCATTTTACATGGCTGATTTTAATTAATTCAATTTAATTTATTTCATTAGAGGACGAAATTATTTTTAATTGCAACATCATAGTCATTTTTTTCGCAATTCTTATGTGTACGCAAAATATTGCATGTGATTAATAAAATTACGGTCTTTAATGAATGACAAATAGTTGAACAATGCAATTAATCATAAATGATTTAAATTTTTGCATAATTGTGTTTTAAATAAATAATTTTAAGAATGATTGAATATTGTTGGAATTTAATCCATATACATTTGAGACAATTTGATCACAATTTAGGTTCAACGGAAATTTATCAAGTCAGTTATCCAACAAGGTTAGCAATCCAAAGAATTAGATGCATAATTTGCTTGTGTCACTTATTTTTCGACTTCCTATTTTGTTTTTTAAAACTGATTACAAATCCTAATTTAAAGTACCCACTAGAATTTCTTAACTTTTATTTACTTCTTCCGGGCAATCTACGAACAAATTCTGGGATACTTTATAAAATTAAAAGAACTGATCAGTAAAAATGTGCTATAACCAAAAACAAGAAGAAAGAAATAATATCGCAAGAGTAAAGCCCCCGTTCAAATGTTCTCATTCCGGGAAATCATTGTATCGACTTTCTCTTTTCTGTAATTCTCTTCTTAAACACAACAATTTTCTTTTAAATGGATGGTTTATGCTGATACCTTCCGCTTACAAAATTTTAGTTACTAAATTTTTTTTAGGTTTGTATTGTATAAAATAAATTCAAGATTTCAGGGAGTATAATCATTCCAAACTACTGTTTTTAATATTGAATAAAATTAAATTACTCTTACATTTAAATTTAAATGTTTTATTCATTTTATGTTAATTTTCTCTAAGTCAGGATAAAGGGGCCTGTCGAAATTAATGTTTTAATATAATTACGTGTATCAACCCTTTACATAAGTTAAGATGAAAGCGTTATGGAATTGGAGTAGTATACGTTTAGGAGTATTTTGTACTTTCAAAAGGAACTTCTTTAATATAAGAATGAATACATTTCTTGTGACGCATTTTGAACTGTTTCTGTAAACTGAACAATATACGCCATTTTTTTATTTGTAAAACAATATCTTTTGATTTATGAACTATTAAATAAAAAAGTATTATAACACTAATTATAAATTACAGAGAATCTTATACTATTAGAAGTCAAAAGTTGAGCAATAAAATTTTTAATGAGTTTTTATTTTTTATACAATACGCTTTCTGTGTGAGAAACAATAACAAAGAATAACAAATTTAGTCTACCCACGAGTTTCTATATATCTAATATAAAATATATTTCTCATATATCTGACCTACTGCAAGATGCAATTATTATTATTATGTACATACATACATGCATTGTTATATAATTTAAATCCCGTATAAAAGTTCTTTATTTATTGACTACACTTTTATAACGATAAAATAACACAATACGTTTGCAACAAGATACAATAAGAAAGAGAAAATTCAACATAGCTATATACATATGTACATATATAAAAATAATAAATGACTTTAAATTTAAATTTTAATATTCCGGTTGCTTTATTTTATTTCTAATACTCCTCCACAAGGAATAGAAAATTTATTTATAATCCTTTTTGTATAACAATAACAAAACAAATGTACCCATAATAAAAAGTAATAAATCTGTTATTAAAATACATTCATTTTAAGAAATAAAATTAAAAAATTCTTGTACATGTTATAAATGTATTTGTAAAATAATAAAGTTATACGTAAAAGAAACAAAAAATAATATTCAATTTTTTATGTACCTGTTTCCATCTCGTTTTATAAAATGCGGATATTGTAAACTAAAATGTAAATCTAGGTCGGTTTCCAATAATGGTGCTGGTATTGTACTTGTACTTGTACTATTATTACCACTGATATTACCTTGACCAGATGTTGTATTTATAATATTAACACCACCACTAACACCAATTGATGTTGTATTCAAATTAATACCAGCACCGGTAGCATTCGTATGAGCATTACCCATAATACTTATTGTATTACCATCTCCAATACCACTATGAAGATTTTGTTGATGATTCTGTTGTTGTAATTGTTGTTGCTGTTGTTGTTGATGCTGTTGTTGTTGCTGTTGTTGTTGCTGCTGTTGCTGTTGTTGTTGTTGAATTGAATTATATCCTTGAGTAGTAATACCACTTATTTGTGTATTATTTGTTATTGCTGCAGATGATGTTATCGTTGATGCTGTCGATGATATACTTGATGTTGTTGTTATTGCTGTTATACTATTATTTGTTGTTGATTGCTGTGGCACAGGAATTTCATGAGATCGTAATGTTCTTTTAGAACTTTGCATTTTAACAGCTAATGATAATGATGACATATCAGTTGGTAAAGGTGTTAATAACGATAAACGGGTTATTGTCAATGAACATAACCTAAAAACAAAAAAGAGGAAAGTATGAAATTAGTTTCGATATTTAATGTATAATAATATTTAATTTGAAGTTAAAATATATATTTTGGAAATTCAAAACATCCGCCGAAATTTATTACTGATGAAATAACTGGGTTATATTAAATAAGTGAGAGGAGCTTTCGGCCAAACTTAGCAGAATTTCATAAGAGAAGGGCTTGATTTTTCATGTTAAGCTAGAAAATTTCTAAGGGTTGTAATAAGTTGAAGCACAACATTTGGAAATTTTAAATTTTATTGCTCGTGAATTTTAAAAATTATATGACAAGAAATAGGGTAACAGATTAGGTTTTAGACACAATTTTATATTTTTTGCCTATATATTTGATTTTCTCTTTTAAATTTTGTTATACTTTAAATTCTCGTTCGATTCTCTTTAAAAATCAATTGACGTAATTCATTTATAGTAAAAGTAATATAATTTGATTAAAAATATTTAATTATATTAAAAATTCAAAATATTTTGCAAATTTTTAATTTGTAGTATATTCCAGAGTAATATACAACATTCATAAAATATTAAGTGAGTAAGAAATACAAAAGAGTTCATGAATCGCTTTTCATTAAATATTCTCTTTTTTTCAAACAGAATATTAAATTTGAAATAATCTTCTGATTTCGAGTGTATAAATAAACATATATATAATAATTTTGTTCCAATGCACACATGCATAGAGGAATGTGTACAAGGAAATTATGTTTTAATATTTCTAATTTTTAGCCTTAAAATTCTTATTAATTCTTATTGCTTATTAATGTCTCATTAATTAAAATAAACATAAGCTTATGGTGGTTTGTCGTTTAGCACACCTTCAAAGATATTATGAAAATTGTGATAGTTTCACGATTTCATGTTGTTTAATAAGGTAAGCTTTGTATTTATGTTTTGACACACTGAAGAAGACAGACAGTGGCTGGATTATGTAAATTTATTTTACTATTAAAAATTCTTTTGCTATTTTCATTTTCATTAAGTAGGTTAAAACCTTCTTTTAATAGTTCTTTTTTAAAGTAATTTTTTTTATGGTAAATTATTTTTAGGATTAAGAATTTATATTTATACAAAAAAAAGATGAATTATGAGTACCGAATCGAAGTAGTGAGTTAATTTCAATTTCAACCGTTTAATTACTACAAAATTTCAAAATTAAACTCATAAATTTCTGAGCATTTTATTGCTTTTCCACGATACAGCCATAAAATTTCCTGAAAAATTGATTTTTTTATAAATATTATTGCAATATTTTCTAGTTCAAATTTTATAATTTCGATTTCATTTCAAATTTATTTAATAAATAACTTATTTTCGCCTCATGTACAATTATCTAGCAAGTGAGTGTATATTAAATTTAACTAAATAGGCCTAACAATATGCAAATATTTAATTTCCTATTTAAATTAATTTGTCATCTATTTTAGAGTCTTTCGTTTGTAGGAATATTTAAACAGAAATAAATATGTAAATATGTAGGTATATATGTATATATATGCATAATGTATAAGTGTGCTTTAAGTATGTTTTATAGCAAAATCTCTCGTGAATTTCGAAAATATTTTATAAATTTTTTTGAAAAATACAACAAAAAGAAAACAAAACAAAATTTCAGTTCACTGAATTTAAATTTAATTGTCAGAAATTTTAAAATTATAAGTGAAGAGACTTTTTGCATAATACGAGTATTGTGAGTAAACAAAATGTTGCCATGTTGACATTAATTTATTTAAATTTTCCAGCAAAATTTTCAATTGTGATCAAATAAATTTTTAAATATTTTGAAATAAATTTATAAATTAAATTATTATTGATTTTGATTTTCTAAATTAATTTGAAAATTGCTTTTTTTCCAATAAAATTATGGCAAAATGTTTTGTTTTCTGTTATGAGCAATGGGGTATATCAATTGTGAGAAGTGTGAATATTACTATTACCAATTTAATTTATTCAGCTATAATTCAAATTCGCGATTCTAATCAAGGCGATTGTTAATTTTTCACTAAAATTGTGGTATAATAATATTTAGGCGATGAATATATAGCAATTCTGATTTGATCACAAATTTGTCCCATACGTTCCACGAGAATATTAACATACCTTTACAAAATAATCATATAACAAGGATATGTATACATATGCATGTAAAAAATTTTGTAATTGTTTCTATTTTTGTACGAATTATTGTATACGTGTTCTTGTCATTTAACGAGAACTATACAAGTGATAAGGATAATTTTAATTTGATTTAACACAATTTTATTAGCTCTAACATAGAATTTTTCTAGCTACAAGCAAAGATATATTAAATTTAAGGATTTAGCTTTAAAAATATTATATTTCGAAATTGCACGCTTACTTTTTAAATTTCATATTAAGTGACATCCTTATCTACGTATGGTTATGTACGTATTTGCTTGTAATTCCAACACAAGTAGCATTGTTTTTTTATTAAATTCCTCAAGTTTCAAATACATATGAATTTGCTATTATATAGAATACTTGTAAATGTTAGGAATATCAAATTATGATTAAAGTTGAAAATGTGTCGCGTGTAAAAAAAGCATTTACAAGTAAATTAAATCTTATAAAAAGAGAGAATTTTATTTTTTTGAAAGATTTTGTTTTTATGTAAATCAAGAATTTACACGTGTTTTGCTCGTACCCAATAAAGTGTTTATGATAAGAAATTGTGATAAAAGTTGAGAAGAAAAATTTAATTTTTTAATTTTATTAACTAAAAATTATTTTTTAAAAATAAAGTTTTAGATTATGAATTTTACTAATACAACATCATAGTTGCGAATTTAATAAGTATGTGCTTATTACACTAATAATTTAACTTAATGGAAATTTCTTCATGCAACTGCAGAACAGATGGATGACGTAATCAAAGGAACGAGTTAAAGGCAGAAAAATTAATTAAAAAATTTTTTTTCTCCTCGAACTGGACTCGAATCAGGGACCTACCGCTTTCTAGGCGGACGCTCTACCAACTGAGCTACAGAGGCATGAAGAAATTGCCGACGAAATGTTCTCTACATTGCTTTATACTGTAATCCACATGATTACTAAGTATTTGTTTTGTTTACATTGACTGCCTCTTACAATCTACTATTGCAACATACATAAAATTTTAGAACTTATAATTTTAAAATTTTACATGTTTTTAAGTAGAACTTTTTGAATAGCGATTAGTCAGAATTTTTTCAATTATGTATTAACCAAGCAAAAAGGAGTGGCAGGGGGAGGGGCAGATTTTATCGCGATAATTAACGAAAATAATCATTTTTAGAATAACGGTACTTTAATTTAAATAATTCGTGCTAATCTGGTTTTCTTCTTCTACTCTTAAATAGCTTTGCATAATTAGGAAATTTGAACTTTTTTCAAATTTATTTCTTTTGTTCCAATCAAAGAATAATTCTAACAAAATATTGTTTTTAATTAAAACAAATATTTTAATTTATTTAAAATATTTTTCTGAAAATCGGTTGGTTTAACACGAGTTCATAATAAAATTTAAATTATATTTTGAAATTTTGTTATATAAGAGTTTTGCAATTGGAGTTGTTGTTGGATTGTAGATTATTTTAACAATCGAATGTTTTTAGTTAAAACGAGAAAAAAAATAGAGTTGACCTTGTCAACTCTGTGATACCCGTACGAATTTATCCTATGTGCGAATAACTAATGTGCCATAACTAACTATGGGGCAGACTATGACTTTAAGTTGCCGTCTTACCATATTAATTTATGCAAAATTTCAGTACTATGTGTTTTTCAAAATACTGGTTGTGCCAAACTACTATTGAAGTTGTATGGCAGCTACCAGAAAGAGCCAAGAAATTTTAGCGAATTTTATCAATCACATCGGCCCTACTATATATTCACTTGTGTGAAATCTCAATATCACAGCTTTTATAGTTTCTGAGATATAGCCAAATAACTTTTGAAGTTGTATGGCAGGTACCAGAAGGAGCCAAGTAATTTCAACGACTTTTATGAGACGCATTGGCCCTACTAATATATTCGTTTGTGTGAAATTTCAATACCATAGCTTTAATAGTTTCTGAAATATAGTCAAATAACTTTTGAAGTTGTATGGCAGCTACCCGAACCAGTACCCCGATCATGTCCAATTTAAATAGGTTCTGGCACTTACTGCAATAAATCATTTGTGAAAATTTGGTGAACTTAGCTCAATTAGTTTTTGAGTTATCGTTCGGACGGACGGACGGACAGACAAAGCTAAATCAACTCAGAATTTGACGCTGATCAAAAACATACACTTGAGTCTATATCTAACGCCGTTATTTCTTAGCGTTACAAATGGTAAGGCAAATTTAGTATACCCTTCGAACATACGTTCTTACGGGTATAATTACTTTCATTCGTATACCAAATGATTTCAAAGATTGCATATATTTAGGATGAGCAAAAAAACAGAAAAAGGGGATGAAACATAAAAATTGAATAGGATGGTTAAGCAAATGAGTTTAAATAACTATATTCTTTGATGGCAATGTTAGATGACTGTAAATTTTAACGGTCATTTTGTTTTTTTTTTAAACTAAACCAAGCTATGCTGCGACAGAAAAATCTCGCCATTACTTTTATGCTTTTGCAGAATTAAAAAAATTGTTTGTGATTTCGTTACAAGAAATAGTTATTTTAAGGTATTATAACTTTTATAAGGGCGGAGTTACGCTAAAATTTTCTAAATTGGTAAAAATGACACCATTTGCATACGTATGTGCTTCATTGCTAATGATAAAATGGGATCTTTTTTTGTTTTAAACAAATTACTTTTAATAATTTAAAATACTGGTAAAATATTTCAAATTTAACTAAATACCGCTTGTGTAAAGTTTTTAAGATTATTTGATCTTATAATTTCAAAAATTACCTTTTATTTCTGCAATTCGACATTTTTACCACAACTAAATGGCAATTAAAATTCAAA